TTCCTTCCTTCCTTCCTTCCTTCCTTACTTCCTTCCTTCCTTCCTTCCTTCCTTCCTTCCTTCCTTCCTCATTCTAGCCTATGAACAAGTCATCCTGGCAGCTGAGTTTGCAAGAAAAACATCATTTTTAAAAAATGTACAGAGCATTTTGTTGTTTAAGAAAACAATCATGTATAAAGGAGCCCTAAGAAGGACATTAAAACTCTGAAACTTCAGATCCAGTGCAAAGACCTGGCAATAATAATCATTTCTGCTGAAGGAAGAGTTCTTCTCTGTATTTGCAACATACCACTGTAGTTATGAGAAACATTCCAGCAAAAGAGTGTGATGGGTAAAGAGGGAGATGCGAAGCTATCCCAAAAGTTAAATACCTGTGGACACCATATCCCCAACACAAAATGCCCATCACCCACATATCTCTCTCCCCTGGCTAAGAAGAGGGGCGGGAAGTTTCCCACAGACTACCTCCTCCTTCCTTCACAGCACTCCCGCAAATTTCCAGAATTCACTGACAAGATTCTTTCCCCTCAGCAGCTCTTGAATATATTGTGACGTCATTGCAACCTATTCAAATATTTAATCCCATTCCATACATAATTCTAATCTGTATCTAGAGTAAGGATCACATTTTGAGGGAATTGTGAAGGTTGGTCTTGCCTAATTCCTGTATTGTTGGAAAGCTGAGTGTTCGCTGGTTATCAGAAAAATACCACTGAGTCCAAAATGATCACCCGTGCTCCCAAATGACCCCCCTGTAATTCTCAAGTCTCCACAAAGGATGAAAATAATAGGTGTGACTATGAGAGGAAATGGTGGGGGGCATGAGAGTTGACAGTTGAGGTATCTTCTGCCTCCTATGGCAAATTCTACAAAACACTATACCTTCGTGGTGCCCTTTACCCATTGATCTGTGAGCTGCAAAGGATTCTGGCTCGTGACTCATGGCACACACTGGCACATTAGCCATGATTTTGAGGCCTCCTCATTGGCTTGTGACCCCGGAGGCCACGCACAATACTTTTTTGTCGCTACCAATTGCAGGGGGAAATCGTTAGTGGTGGGGGGAAGGGCTGCTAAGAGGGAAAGGGGACAACATGCTGAGGGCCGTGGTCACCCTGGAGGCCCAGAAGCTTGGCAAATTGTGGGATTTGTTTTCGCATGATATCGGAGATGGGCCTGAGAGGCGGTGGGGACCCACTGTGACAGCCCTGGATGGAGGGCAGGCTGTTCAGGGAAGCTCAGCCGCTCTCCACTGAGTGACCTCTGGACAGTATCTGAGGGATATGAGAGTTCCCTCACAGAAGGTGCTGTCCTGTGCGCACATCTCTATCATTTTCTCTGCTCTTCTCATAGCAGCCAGTTAGAACGAGGACGGCACTTGCCTGTTGTGATGGCAACACTAGATGCCTTTCCTGATCCTGTCAGGTTCCTGGATCTGCTCTCCACTTGGCATCTGTAGTTCCCTGAATCACCCACAGCAGCATTTGTTCGAGTGAGAGAAGTAAAGCCTCCTTCCAGGTCCAGCTCTATTCTGAGTGAGGCTCCAGCGCTGTTCAGCTTCGTTTCATTTCTGTACCATCTCACATCGGTGGAATTGTAATCACTGACAGTCCTGAATCGACACTCAATGGTAACATTTGTCCCTTCTGGTTGGTTGATGTGTTCTGGAGTCTGATTCACCATCAAGTCAGTAATCCCTGCCCGGGGGGAAAATACTAATGTTTACCTCCGTTAGCCCTGACCTCGATAGCCCAGGCTAGGCCAATCTTGTCAGATCTCAGAAGCTAAGCAGAGTAGGCCCTGGCTAGTATTTGGATGGGAGACCTCCAAGGAATACGAGGTCATGACACAGAGGCAGGCAATGGCAAACCACCTCTGAGCATCTCTTGCCTGGAAAACCACACAGGATCACCATAAGTCAGTTGTGACTCGACAGCACTTTCCACTATCACCCAACTCTGTTAAAGTACAGTTCACTGCTAACTGCAGCTGGAAGATGAAGGATCCACACTTAAAGAACAAGTCCGGGTTTCCTGTCTTAGATTCAGGTGGTTAGCTGTGTTGGTCTAAAGCAATAGAACAAGGTTTGTGTCCAGTGGCACCTTGAAGACAAACAATTTTAATTCTGGGTATAAGCTTTCATGTGCATGCACACTTCTTCAGATACAGTGAAACAGACGGTTGTGGAAGTCTGTTTCACTGTGTCTGGAGAAGTGTGTATGCACACAAAAGCTTATACTTAGAATTAAACCTGTCGGTCTTAAAGGTGCCACTGGACTCAGACTTTGTTCTATTTACCAGCATAGTTTTATATGTAACCATAATACTGACTTGGGTTATGATCCGACCCCTTTGATCCATGTGATAGTAACTTTGAGGCTGGAGTACTGTCATAGGCTCTGCACGGGGCTGCCCTTAAAGATGACCTGAAAACTCCAGCTAATGCAAAACACTGTGACCGATTTCCCACAAGCTTCCCTTTGCCCGGATCGTACGTGTCAATTTCACATCAAAAAACAGGATTGAGTAGAGGCGGGGAAAATCGGGTGAAGCTGCGGGGCAAAATGCAGCTGTGCAACACTTAGTGTGAAATTGACACGTACGATCCGGGCAAAGGGAAGCTTGTGGGAAATCGACCTGTGGCTCATTTCAAATCCAGACCTAGTCGCAGTTCACATATCCAATATCAGTCCAGTGCATTGGTTGCCTGTTTCTTATTGGGTCCAATTCAAGGTGCTGGATATGACCTGGAAGGCCCCTTCATTGCCTAGGACCCACACATCTTAACGACCGCGTCTTCCAATCTGCTGCTGAGCAGCAATTGGCATTAATCAGGCCAATGTCTACATAGATTGTTATCATGCAAACCGATTATATCAGCACCTGCCCACTCCATGGCTTTTTCAGTGGCGGCTCCTGTGTGATAGAACAGCCTTGCTATGCAGGGCAGGAAGGGAACCCCCACCCCCCCTGTTTTTTAGCAATGGCAGCATCAGATCAATTTATTCAGACAGGTCTTTCAGTAGATAAAAGTTTTCCAGTCATAGATAAGGTTTTAATTGCTTGTTTTATCCAGTTGTATTTTCAAAAACATGCCTTGAGTCCTTTTTATGAGAAAGGTGGGCTAAAAAACAAAGAAAATCAAGGAAAACCTCAAGCATGGCTAAAAACCCTAGAAAATAAAACAAATGTGCACCTTTTCTGGAAAATCTACGGAAAAGACATGGGCCCTGGCAGAGGTAGAACAAACAACCCTGGGAGAAGGAACAGAGAAAAGTGGCCACACTGGATGAAAACACAGAACCAACTTTTCCATGCAAATGCGAGTACCAAACACTGAAACTTTCAGTGGGGATGGTTTGGAGAAGGGATACAAACATAGATTTACCACTTTGCCATGTGAAAAGTGGTTTGGGAAGGGGAGCTGGAGTGGGAAAGGGATGGACAGGGAAGGGTTAAGCACCCTTTCCTCCCTGTGCCCCTTCTTTCGAAATTGCCTGCTTGCAGAGCCTTGGAGGAAGGAGCCCCTGGGGTTTCATTACACGTTCTGTGGGTAACATGGTATACCAGCCGACAGTTCCCTTCTAAGGGTACCAGTACAGCTGACCAGTACAAGGCACTGAAAACTGCTTGCATCTCCCAGCAAATGTTGAGTTTAATTTGAAACTCTTGAACAAAATCCTTGGAAACAGCATATTGTCTCCATCGATCCATTACTGGAATATCCATCATACTTTTGAAAAAGCTGGAAAAGAATATTTTTTCCTTAATGTTCGTATTTTGGAATAATTGCATAGTACACTATTTCAAGACGTGTGGATTTTCTGCAAATTGTTCAATAGCTACAGTTCTCACCAGTCTCCACACAACCTGCACCTGTGAAAGAAGTCAAAGGTTCCTACAAATACAAGATGTGATTTTGAAGAAAATATCTTACCATCAATGGTCAGCTGTGTTCCATTACTGGGAAAGCGATTACCTCCATGGTCATGAAGTATGCACCTGTAGATTCCAGAATCTGCTATCTCAGTCTTGCTCAGAATCAAATGACTACATCTTTCTTTTTCTCTTGTAATTATTGACATTCGGCTTGAGTTAGTTAATGCACTTTCTGTTCCATTCTTAAACCACAAAATATACCAAATTGGGGAGTTAAACTGGAGTATGCAGCATTCCATGCGCTGTGTAGAACCTTCCATCACTTTCACAGCAGTCGGTGTCTGGATTACTAAAACAGGCTGAGGTGTCTTTGAAGAGTCTGAAAGACATGTAAAAACACTATTGAGGCCAGCAAATTACTTCTGAATTATCACATACACACACACACGCACACACACTAAATATGCATATAGCCTCTAATGTGGGAATAAAGAACAGAAAAGGAGAACTAGAAATCCTCAGCCAGGGACAACAAAAACCCACTTATTACTTTCTATGCAACCCACCAGGATTTATAATTCTTGGAAAGGCAACGCTTGATTCCTTTCTATCGAATGCCATTATAGATAACCGTCTGGATAAACTGTATTCTAATTTCTATAAATGAGATATGCAATAAAGCCAAAGGTTTTCTCGGTTTTCTCAGCAGACTTTGGTTTTTAAACACACACACACACACACACACACACACACACACACATCTTCTTATCCCATACATGTCATTTTTTTTGTAAATATAGATTAGGGTTGCCAATTCTGGGTCGGGAAATTCCTGGAGATTTGTGGGTGGAGCCTGGGGAGGGCGGGGTATAATGCCATAAAGTCCACCCTCCAATGCATTCCCTGCCTCCAGGCCCTCATGTACAGTTTGTATGTGTTGGAAATGAAGGACTTTGTGCGGTCTCTGAGCCTCCGATTTCAGAGAGGAGCTATAGAGCCAAGAGAGAGACAGGTCAGGAGTCAGGACCCCCTGCGTATCCTTCCTTTCTACTGCTCTCCCTTTGGAGTAAAGATTGCTGCTCTTGGGGAACCTTCCTGCCTCCCTGCCTGCCTTCCAGCTAGCACCTTCCCACTGCCTTCTCCATCTTGCTCCCATGACAGCTGAACATGCTTCCTGCATCTCTGTCCATAGTTGGTTAGATATCCTGTCTAGAATAGAGTTCCTTACAATAAAGCACTCGTATTAATTTGCGAAGGCAAAGATGGCTCTATCTATGTGGCCTTTATTTCCTCAGCAGCACACACACCACGCAGTCCTGCTGTGCCATGTGCCTTGAGCACTCTGCAACTCCTATCAAAATACACATGGGTGCTGTTATAGGGTTGCCAACCTCCAGGTGGTAAGTAAACAAAAATACAACTGTGATATTGTTATGCGATCTACTCAATAATTATTATTAAGCATGTATAATATGGCACAAATAACAAAATATACAAATATTTAAGGTGTCCTTGTAAACCAAACTGTTCGTGCTCAAAGTTTCTCTATATAGTACAGCTCAAAGTGGCTTTACACAGTCCTTCTTTGATGTGGATGTGAATTATTCCAAATATCCAATCAACTGTCATGGCTTACAACCTATCCTGTGATCTCATGTTTGTATAACCTCCAGGTGGTGGCTGGAGATCTCCCATTATTACAATTGATCTCCAGGTGACAGATCAGTTCACCTGGAGAAAATGGCTGCTTTGGAAGGTGGAGTCTATGGCATTGAAGTCCCTCCCCTCCCTAAACCCCACCCTCCTCAGGCTCCACCTCCCAAATCTCCAAGAATTTCCCAACCCAGAACTGGAAAGCCTAGTGTTCTACCCACAGGAGGGGAACATCTACAGGGGGCGAGGCCAGTGTGCTCAGTGACAAAGGGGAGGAGCTGGTGGCCTCATGTTCATCCTCCTTCTAGTACTCGGAAGGTGCTGAGCGGACTGCAAAGAACTCCAACAGGAGAGATTATTAGGAAAGGAACTTGAAGTAAAATGGACCGTTCCAGAATATGTTTACATAACTGATGGTATGCGGGGCTTTGCTGAGAGAGAGAGTGGAGCAGGGGGACGAAAAGCCGTTAAGTAGACCAGTTATGTGATTTGCTTTTATATGATGTTTGCATTGATGGGGTGGGGTCTCCGGGGGCCGATCAGAAGCCTTGCTGGGCAAAAGCCTCTCCTGGCAGGCATCAGGAAACATGTCAGTGGGTGCCATGTTGAGGACCCCTGCAGTAGAGGTTGGTATTGTAAATTATGTGTGCTATGAGGAAAATTGAAATGGAAAGAGAAGATCCGTTGCTATCCCGGCTCAGTTATACAAAATTCCATATGCTTTGTGCTTGGAAAGGGGAGCAGGACTTAGTCCAACCCCCGGACATCCAGGCATACAGATATCTGCAACAAGCCCCTATATACATACTCTAGTGTACGGAAACAGGCACCTCCATCATGGGCTCTCTGAAGACCAGGGGCTGTCTTAGTCAAAGGACATCAGGGGAAGCTGCCAGGCCTCCTGCTGGGGGTGCCCCAGCCCCCCACAAACCTGTGCCACAATGGCGGGGGGCAACCAGCTCAGCAGGAGTGGCTGCCCACAGGCTCAGGCAGTCAGTTTCTGGGAACAGCAGCTGCCCCTGCCCACCTCCCACAGGACGAGGGCTGCCCCGTGCTTGGACCCTGGGGGCCGGGTATAGGCTCGGGGAGGGTCTAAGTGGTTCAGTACAAACCTGCTCCAGAGACGGTAGAGGAAGCCTTTGTGCTGTTCTCATGGGGGACCGACCGATTGACACCATTCACCACCTGCCCCTGTTCCAGACTTACAGAACCGGATTTTCCTAGGGCTGTGAACCAATGGAAACAGTCAATCTATATCCATTTTAACTGATTCATCTGTGAAGCTTCTGTCTTGACTGTGTTTGAACCAAGCATTTCTCCTGAAAAGGGTATTCTTCTTCCTTTGATTTTATGTGGGTTGCTTCAGGCATCATCTTACCTCCCTTTCCTCAAAATCCCACATAACTGGGGAAAGGAAGCCTAGACATTTTTCCTGAATAAATATGCTGAAAACCCAGTAAACCGAGGGACACAGAGGGCTGCTAACTCAAGGCTGGGGAATTCCTGGAGATTTAGAAGACAGGGAAGAAGAGATTGGATTTATACCCTGCCCTTCACTACCCTAAGGAGCCTCAGAGCGGCTTACAATCTCCTTTCCCTTCCTGTCTCCACAACAGACACCCTGTGAGGTAGGTGGGGCTGCGAGAGCTCTTATGAGAACTGCTCGTGAGAGAACAACTCTGAGAGAACTGTGACTGACCCAAGGTCACACCAGCAGCTGCATATGGAGGAGTGGGGAATCAAACCCGGTTCTCCTGGATTAGAGGCTGCACTCCTAACCAATATACCAAACTGGACTAAGTGGTTCAGGGGGACCTACCTAGATTTTTGCGTAGGGCCCTTGAATCGCTAAGAGTGCCCCTGCTGCAGACATACTCTTCTACTCACATGGACTGGGAATCCACCCACCCCCTGTAACAGAAGCATGCAGGTCTCTGTGATGTACCTGATCCACGCAGTCACCGTCTCACACTCACCAACTGAATGCTTGTCAAATATCGCCCTGCTCTGTATGCCATGGTTGCTGGGGGAGGGGAATTCCTTAGGTGGGGGGGGAGTGAGTGTGCAGTGTGTGGTGGCACTATCTTAGAGGCGTAATTCTTCCAAAGAAGTCTTCTTCTCTCCCAGAGGAAAGTCCTTGAAAGCTTTTGGTGCCAGCTGGCTTTTGTAGATAATAGGGTTGTATATTTCCCAGGTGAAAGGGGGGGGTAGAGGCACTGGGGCTAGGCGGGGTGAATGTGACGTGTGAGTGAGCCTTAGGAGGGGTTACATTTGAATTACCTATATCTATGATTGTACCCGCCAAAATCTTCAGAACTGACACAGTACTGCTATGACCTGGGCCTTGCTTATAACTCAATAAACATATCACTGCCAAAGAGAGTGTCGTTGAGAATAACTTGCCCAGGAGTCTGGCAACGCTCACTTAAGCCATCCATCTTGCTTACCCCATCAAACTTCTGAGCTTTTAAGTGTCATGTGACCCTTTCCTATTCATTGTCTTGCACATCTCTAAAAAGAATATTTTAGAGTACAAACCTGCTGCAGAGATGGTAGGAGAAGCCTTTGTGCTGTTCTCAGAAGGGACCGACTGATTGACACCATTCTCAGCCTTCCCCTGTTCCACACCTACAAAACCGCTTTCTCCAAGGGCTGCCAACCAATGGAAACAGTCAATCTATATCCATTTTAATTGGTTCATTAGTGAAGCTTCCATCTTGACTATGTTTGAACCAAGCATTTCTCCTTTAGTTTTATGTGGGTTGCAGGCATCATCTTACCTCCTTTCCCCCAAACCTGGGGGAGGTGAAGGCAGGGTTTGGGGAGGGGAGGGACCTCAGTGGGTTTTAGTGCCACAGAGTCCTCCCTCCAAAGCAGCCATTTGCTCCAGGGCAACTGTCAGCTTGCGCAGTAACTCTCAGACGCAATAAGTCCTTTAACAGGCTTTATTTAGGAAGTCAGGAAAGCTGCATTAAAGTTGAACTCTTTGACAGAACTGAAGATAATTACAAAGTAGGAAACTACGAGACCTCTGGTCCAGCCCTCATTCACACACCATGATTACATAGCATTTAGGCAGGTTAATACATTACAATTAAAATGGTGAGAATGTTTATCATTTGATACTCTCTCGAAGGCCATGAGAAGTAGAAACAGCTAATGTTCTCACTAGCCTTTACAGAGGAGGCTTCCTTTCACAGAGTTACAAAAGCGCAGCTAATCTAAGGTTCACACAGACATGTCTCAATCACTCCTTCCTCAGGAATGTCAGAGGAGGATCCTTGAGAATAGATTGATACAATGCCAGCAGGTGCTACATGAAACTTGGGAACTACAAGCGGGGAGGGAATACCTGGTGCAGCAATAATAGAATTCAGTAAAGCAAAGCTATGTACATCAGAGAGACACAATTGCAAGTAGAATGACCCAGGCAAGGGTTTGATTCTGACAGCAACTGATCTCTGTAATCGAGAAATTGGTTGTAATTCCAGGAGATCTCCAGGCCCCACCTGGAGACTGGCAACCATAAGAATGCCAGTCACATTATCCCAAGGAGTATGATGAGATGAAAGGGAAAACAAGACCTGTATTCCTGTTTCTCAGGAACAGGATGTCTCCTCTGACCTAGAAAAAAGGTCTAAAGGATATGCCGTGTGGCAGGCCTGGCCTGGCCTCTCCTATTGCCCTTCCATTTCCATTCATTCCTCCTCTTCCCTGGTTCTGCTGGATCAATTGTTTAATACAATAATCTTCAGACAGGCTGCTTTTAACCAGGTGGGCTACAGGTGATTAGAAGGGCATAGGGCAACCCCAAGAGCAACCACCCACCTGGTCACCCCTCTCCCTCCCCTCCTGCCTGATTTAAAGGGCTTCAGCAGATCCGTGGAGGGACTATTCTTGCTGCAAGGATCCCATTAAGAAACTATTGCAGAAGCATTTGATTTGATGCTAGACAAACACATTTTCAAATGCAATTAATCTTTAATATTAACATGTATTAAATTCAGAGATATAAGACTGCATTTGAAATGTTTTGAAAATACCATGAAAAGTACTGTAGATGTGCTACAATTAGGACAATTTCCAATTACGAGGTAGACTGATTGTATGCAATGTTTGGGGTGTTTTGTAAGTTGCATATGTTTCTACCTTTACAGTGTTACAAATCTGTACATTGTGAACAAGAGAGGAGGAAACCCACACAAAGGGCAAGTCGGGGACAGAAAGGAAAAGGAACTGGGAGACCTCAAGCTTGGGTGGGTGACTGTGCAGTTTTGTTAACAAAAGTTATGTTTGTGCTTGAAGCAGCTCAGCATTTCCGAGAAGTTCTTCATGAGTAACACAACTTAGCCCTGGACCTGGGTAATCGTGTCTTCTCCATCTCAAGGCCAAACTAGGCGGGAAAGGGGCAGCCAAGTTTGTCGTTTGTGGCCATGTGTTGTTGTTCTCAGGGTACATGGGAGGGGGGTGTCAGCTCCTTCCCCCAAAAGAAACACCCCGGTGAGCTTATCTGAGCCCTCCTTACTTCCGATTGCTTCATCACTGCAACTATTTTGCTCCCAGCCCAGAAGTAGGGCTGGTTAGGAATAAAAGTGATTTGAGCAACAGAGGGCAGCAAGGTAAGGGTCAGTGTCCCTCCACCAAGCACAGTTTTTCTTGCAGTGCTTACCTGCCATCACCCCCTCACTTTGGATGAGAAGGGGGGAAGGTGAATGAGTAAAAGGAGTGTGTGCTGCTTCTCGTGGGGCTTTTTTAAAGAAAGCTTTGCTGAATTTTGTAATTTCTGTGACTCTGATTATTAACTGTTCTGGCATCTTTTAGAGCTTTCCTAATAAAAGCCGTAACAGAGCCTCTTGTTTTGTAGTTCCAACAGTGCAATCCTTTCCTAGGAGGAAGCCCCACTGAATAGACCAAAGTAGGATTTGGGGCAGACCTGTTTAGGATTGCTCTCTAGATAACTTCTTTGCATCCTGCCCTTTGGTTGAGTCTCTCTTTCAGCTTCCTCTCAACGAATCTCATTTGGAGAGTTTCTTATCTTGATGTTTAAGTATGATTGCACTTTATTTCTGGTGCAAATTTCTACTTGCGTGTATGTCTGCTGAATTTGACCACATTACATCTGCTGAATTCAATATCATTACAGTCAGTGTTTCTGCATCTCATCCCAGGCCCTGGGCATCACTCAGCAAGAGACCCCATTGTCCCCTCCCCTCTAACTGGACCCCGTGGTCCCCTCCCCTCTAACTCCCCTCTAACTGAAATGTTCCAAGGCATGAGCATTGATTATAACTAAACTGTTACCTCTTTGACCTGCACTTAATTAGCCCTATCTATGGGAGTATAGTTGAAGTCACCCAGTATTACAACACTTCCTTCTTTGGTTTTATTCCAGAAGGCTAGCTTGATTAGTCTGTAGCAGCAAAATAAAACTGGAATTCAGTGGCACCAGAAAGACTAACAAAAATAACTTCTACTGGAATAAATACTGTTAGTCTTTTTAATTTTTTTATTTTAGAAAAACAGTTGGGGTACAGAAAAGGGGGGATAGGGAAAAAATGGTTATACAACATAATTGCATTTGTCAAAGACAATCAAAGACAATCATGTAGTACTGTTACTCTTTAAGGTGCCAGTAGACCACTTTGGTTGACTCTCCAGCGTCTTTCACTATAGAGTCCTCTCAGGGTTTTAATCAAGGAAATGATAATTTAGTATTGGGATCTATTAATTTTGGATATTTGTTTTTACATACAGGCACGTGCAACTGCGCACTCTCACACACACATACACACAACAAGCCTGTGGAATTTTTTCTTCCACTTAAACTACCTAGTTTATCATTCTGCACTGGCAAACGCATCCATATCCTTCCTCTCAAAGCCTCTTTAGCGAGCTCTGCATGTGGAATAGATACCATTTCTGAAAATGCTTCTTTAGTTTCGGACTTCAAGGCTATGACAGCTGAAATCTTTCTTTCTTCCATCATTACTTTGCCCAGTTTCTTTGGTGTCAACATGCACTGTGATCATTGACTCCTACTGCATGTGACATCCAGCTAGCCTGGCAAATCCCCTGTAACAAGGACACCTCTCTCATATTCCTCTCCCATTACTCAGAACACTTATCCTTCATCCTTGAAGGTTTATGCATAGTGCAAGATGTCTACTCATCACCCAAGACATGGATCCTTCTAAGGCAGTTCTAAAACTCTGTAAAGTGGGACTTACTTATCGGATACACCATTACATCACCGGAGGAGGACTTTGTCAAATTCTTTCTGTATCTCTAAGTACACTCCACACACTCTGTACTACTCTAAATCCAGTCAATCTTTGATATTTTATTTTATTTCAACAATAATCAGTGTGGCACTGGAACAATAACTTGTTAATTAAAATGAAGAGTGGCAGCAGGACACTGCAGCACCTCAGGCCACTGGTAGCATGGATCCAGGAGGCAATGGGATTAGGCAACGGGCATCACTTCCTGTACCACTGGGAGATGAGTGAGCAAATCTCTGGGAATCCCTGGGTGCAGGGAGGAGAAAGGAATCCAGGAACCCCACCCTCTCTTCTCCGTTTCCCACTGCTGGATGGAGCAGATCTGAGGGTCTCTTCCCTCTTCTTTCCGAGACCTAGTTCTTGTGTGACCCAGAATGCACTAACAGATAACATGTGAAAACTCAGGCCCGTGATACACTGCCTCCTTGCACTCCATGCTTCCTCATCTGGGATTTCTACATGACCTCAACAGCATAGGGACAACTGTAGAACCATTCCTTTTCATACTACCAAACTGATGCATGTAGGCACTGTAAGAACTGATCTGTACATTGCACGGGCTGTGTTCCTTTTACATCCTGCCTGTCTCTGCAATGGGGACCCAGAGCTGCTTACATTGTTTCCTTTCCTCCATTTTATCCTCACAATAACCCTGCCAGGTAGGTTAGGCTGAAGATATATGACTTTGCCCAAGATCTCCCAGCTCCTAGTCCAACCAGTCTCTTTTGCAAGGTGTTAAGACTTCTGCTCTTTACCAGATTCCTACTGTCGGTAGGGATCTCATTTTGGAATGCTTCCCCCTATAAAAATTGCTCCCAACACAAAGTAAAGTTCAGTATGACCTTTGGACAGTTTTCTACTGTCCAGGAGTGGATTTTTTTTTTAAAGTAAGGAAATCCTTCAAAGCCCTCATTTGAAGTGGTACAGCCCTTCATGTTCTGTGTAATATATAAATCAGTTGTTAGATTCCATAGGTTTAAAACAAGGGTCTTAAAAAAAAGAGAAAAACAGCTGTCGAAAAGGAAACTCACCCACACGCAGATAAAAGAGAAACAGCAAAGTCAGAAAGTAGATTTTGCCTGGCAGCAGGAACCTCATGTTGTCTTCTGTAACGTACAAATTTTCCGTAGGAACACCACAGTGCTAACAAACCAGTCTCTGCAATAGTGGGCTCCACTCACCCGGAGAGTTGTCAGAGTCACGTGACTAGAGAACATGCAGTAGCCCTGTGGGTTTTTTCTTCTCCTTGTCTATCTTACCCCGCCCATTTTTTAAGTTCCTCTTTTCTCACACATTTTTGCCCATCAGTCAGTATCTATTCCCTTTCTCAATTTTTACATTTTCCTTTGGTTTTAAGGTGGTCAGAAAAAGATAAGTTCTTCTTAAAATTTGTATGTGAACTTGTCTTGGGCAGAATGACCCATCTTCTCAGTTTTGGCCCGAATTCTACCAAAACACCAGAAAGGGATGATGGAATCTGGACAGTCTTTCATAATTCATTCTACAACTACCACCAAAACAGTACACACGCTGGTCTGAATGAAGCAAACCTGCGAAACCGATAGCCTGAGCCAAACACATTCCATCAAAGGCAGGTTCTAACAACTTTCCCAAATTGTAAAACAGGTTAGGCTGGCATTTTATTCATGTACCTGTGCCAACATATGCTGTCCAGGGGTATCACGTGTTCCCCGAAACACAACAATGTGTGAACATGGGCCACTTTCTAATCCAAGCCCAAATTCACTCCACGATAACTTTAGTATAAGGAAGAAACTTCCATTTTGCTTCTTCCCTGTGCTAAAAAAGCACATGAATCATAGAATCATAGAGCTGGAAGGGGCCTCCAGGGTCATCTAGTCCAAACCCCTTGCACAACACAAGAAATTCACAACTCCCCCCCCCCATCCCCAGTGACCTGTTCCATACCCAGAAGATGGCAAAAACAACAACAACAACAACCCTCCAGGATCTCTAGCAAAAATAGCCTGGAGAAAATTGCTTCCTAACTCCAAAGTGGTGATCAGCCTTTCCCTGGGCATGTTAAAAAGGGCCACTAGAACTAGGCACTGATGCAACCCTTCCTGCCCTCCCTCTCATGATCTGCCTAAGTTTACAGTCATAGAATGAACACATGAAGCTGGGACATATAGAATCAGATCATTGGCCTACCAAGATCAGTGTTATCTACTCAAACTGGCAGGGGCTATCTGTGGTCTCAGGCTGAGCCTTTTCACATCAGCTGTGTGGTGTCCAGATAACCTTGTAAGATCAGCCACAGAAAAGAGATTGGTGGGAGATGAATGTGCGACATTCTGAACAAGAAACGGCTGACCAACAGTGCACTCCTACACAGAGTTACACCCTTCTAAAACTCCTGGAGCAGACTGGATAACCATGTGGCTTGGTCCTCAGGACCATTTAGTAGTAAAACTATGCTGTATGAGCTTCTCTAGGCAGAGGATTCCATAAAGAGGGTGTCATCAAAAGTCCTGCTCTACGTGAGTGATTTGACAGGTTCCTCTCCCCCATGTCAAGGGGGTTCAGAGGGGAAGCTGCTTAAGCTCCACCCCCCATCCAGAAGTGTATAGTAGCAACTGAAAGAACATAGGAGTCTTTGCATGTAGACAGGGCCACAGGCTTGATGTCCCTTGAATTTTCCCAGTGGTGATAAGCGGATGGGGTTGAGTGGGGTGGAGTGAGGACACTTTTAGGGTTCCCAGGTTTATTCCTCCCCAAGGGAACGTGCATGTGGGTGCACCTGCCGGGGGGGGGGGGGGAGGGGGAGAGAGAGAGAGAGGGAGAGGGAGAGGGAGAGGGAGAGGGAGAGGGGGAGAGATGGTTTGATGTGTAATATTAGAACGAAATTAAAATAATTCTTGTTCCTCAGAAATGAGGCAAGAAATGAGGAAGGAAGGGGCTGTTTGCATAATTTTCATATTGCCCTCATCTTTTCCTGAGAGACCCAAACAGAAGATGGGGTGTGTGTGTCTTTCTTTCCCCCAGCTCACTACTGAATGTTGCTGAATTTTCACTCAGGAAGCTCCTTGCTGCTGTGTATTTTGCCCCCATGGACCCACAGGGATGCATGAGCTGAAGGGACCATGTCTCAGAAAAGCAAAGATATGAGACACATCCATTTCCTAGCATGGGCTGCTCCAAAGGCCCTGAGTGTCCAGCCTTGGAAAGATCTACCCTCCTCCTTTTGTCCTTTGGGGGGGATTCTAAGAATCTCTCTTAAAATAGTTTCAGCAGGTGCGCCAAAGCCCTCACTTAGTCTCAGGGTTGTCAACCTCCAGGTGGTGGCTGGAGATCTCCTACTATTACAACTGGTCCTCAGGTGACAGGGATCAGTTCACCTGGAGAAAATGGCCGCTTTCAAAGGTACCCCATGTCAGACTCTTGAACAAAGTTACTCACAATGACACTCTCTCAGGAGATATGTTTATTGAGTAGAAAAGATGATTCAAGCTAAGATTGCTTCGTGTCAGAACTAAAGGTTTGGCGCCAATGCCCAAAGATATACATAGTTAAAACCAGCCCCCCTCCAGTGTCCCATCCAATCAGTCCAAGCATTCTGCCCACCAAGCTTTCATGCTCTTCTACTTCCCCCCCACACCTGTGAGGCACCCGTTAGGTTATCTATGTCAGTTCCCCTGAAGAAAAGGATTGTTTAGGAGGGTGGACTTTGTGGCATTGTACCCCACTGAGGTCCCGGTCCTCCCTAGGCTCCAGTCCCAAATCTCCAGGAATTTCCTAACATGGAGCTGGCATCCCCCATGCCCTGCTGGTAGCCAGGGTGGACCTGGACAACCCTGGCTCTGTTTTAAGGGTTTGGAAAGCTGCTGACAGAGTAGGCCAAACTGGGTAACATGGATCCGTGGTCTGTCTCTGTCTAAAGGAAATTCATATGTTTCTACTGGGAGGGTCCTTGGTAATCTCTCCTTATATATAACTGTGTTTTGGTCATGGACTCTCCAGAACATTCCACACGCTCCTAAATCAATTGACTCCCTGAACTGTCAGTCAGAAGGTGTCCCGTTTTCCACGGGCTGCGTTGCCTGAGTCCCACCCACAGAAGCAGCGTGTACCAAAATTTACCTCAGAAGACACTGCCACTGCACCAGGGGCCATCTCCTCTAGCTGCTGGCCAGGCTGCTCCCCAGAAGGAAGGTGGCTCTCCCCTCCACTGAGCAGGAGAATCTAATTTTGAAAGACCAGGATATGAGTGATTCACTCAGAGTCGCACTAGGACTAGGGGTTCCTCCTCCTCCTCTTCAAGCAGGCATCTCCCATTGCTGGAGGAGGCAGTAGTACATCTTTTTAAAAAAGGTAACCTCACAAGAGATGCAGATTCTGAGATTGGGTCTTGGTTTTGTTCCCACTCCTTTGTATGACCCCTTTAAGACTCCAGTAGATTTTTCTCTTTTGATTATTTGTAATGTTTTTAATATGGTGGTGTGCAGGCCTCGGTTCCTGCCGGAGCACACTGCAGCACCGCTCCGCCAGTCAGGAGCCCAGGGGGTGGGCACATAAGCCCCGCCCCCTGCTCCCACCAGCCATCAGTTGGGATGGTGGGGGGGCGAAACATTCCCTGCCTCCCTGAGCCCCGGGGTGGTGGCCTTGGACTTGTAGGGGCAAATTCCACCTCTTGCGCTAGAGGTCATTCTGGCTTCCCGAGCTCTCCTTTGGGGCTCCTTAAAAAGTTATGGCCACCGCCACTGTTCTCCCCGGCAGCAGAGATCCCCGCACGGGGGGGGAGGGGCGGGGTGGAAAAAACATCACACACGAGAGGTCATTCTGGCTCCCCCAGCTCTCGGGAGGGGCTCTTTAAAAAGTAATGGCTGCCGTCGCTGTTCTTGGCGGCAACTGCGGCACGGGGGGAGGGTGGGGCGAAATGTTTCCTTGCCTCCCTGAGCCCCAGGGTGGTGGCCTTGTACTCGTAGGGGCAAATTCCACCTCTCGCGAGAGGCCATTCTGGCTCCCCCAGCTCTCGGGAGGGGCTCTTTAAAAAGTAATGGCTGCCGTCGCTGTTCTTGGCGGCAACTGCGGCACGGGGGGAGGGTGGGGCGAAATGTTTCCTTGCCTCCCTGAGCCCCAGGGTGGTGGCCTTGTACTCGTAGGGGCAAATTCCACCTCTCGCGAGAGGCCATTCTGGCTCCCCCAGCTCTCGGGAGGGGCTCTTTAAAAAGTAATGGCTGCCGTCGCTGTTCTTGGCGGCAACTGCGGCACGGGGGGAGGGTGGGGCGAAATGTTTCCTTGCCTCCCTGAGCCCCAGGGTGGTGGCCTTGTACTCGTAGGGGCAAATTCCACCTCTCGCGAGAGGCCATTCTGGCTCCCCCAGCTCTCGGGAGGGGCTCTTTAAAAGGTTATGGCCGCCGTTGCTGTTCTTGGCAGCAGCTGCAACACCTACGTGGGGGGAGGGGCGGGGCAAAACGTTCACTTGCCTCCCTGAGCTCCGCGGTGGTAGCCTTGGACTCGTAGGGGCAAATTCCACCTCTTGCGAGAGGTCATTCTGGCT